CTATTCTAACACTGGTACAGATGTGGATATCTGTTTTATCCGGGGAAGGGATTTTCACCACTTTCCTCAGTTATAAATTGGTTTCACTGTGAAAAGTTCTGGGATTTTTTTTCCTCTAGCCTTCAACAATAACCTGCTTTCCTATAGTTTAAGACAATCCCTGTTCTGAAAGAAAAGGGTATTGACCTTCTTCTGTGTGACACTGATCTAGAGACTTGAAAACTGATATCCATTTCTGTCAGTCTTACCTTTTTGTAACTGATCCATTTTCTCTGAATCTTTCTTAAAATGGGATGCAGAGAACTGAACATAGGGCCCAAGATGGGTCTGACTAATGCAGAATATGATGGACCTATTACTTCCTGTGATTTGAATGTTACAGGTCTTTTGATGCAACCTAAAATTGCATTTGCTTTTTTGGTGCTATGTCACACAGCTGAGTCATACGCAGTGGGTTATCAAAAACAGTTTTAATTCACACATGCAAATACCATCTGCAGTGATGTCTTTTTATTTTCACATCTGTTTTTAAGGCACCATCAATAAAAACACTTTTTTATTTCATCTCTTTCTCGAGTTAGCCAAGTCCCCACCATCAACTTATAGGGATGATTTATTACACATCTGCCCCTTGAACTCCACTGCCAAACTCCTGTTAGGTCTCCCTGATTGGTCTGTCAGGAAATGAACGGATTTATTTTTCAAGTTGTTAAGAATTGGTTCCAAACTGCCTATGGTATTAAAAATATATTTAGGGTTTTTTTTCCTTCTAAATTGAATCACATGAGTTGGTGGGGAGGAATCAGGATTGAAACCCTAGCATCTGGGGGAGAGTTTTTCTAACTCTTTCCTTCATTGCAGAAATGATTCACATAGAAACATCCTCTCTGAAATTGCTATTACTTGGGGGAAAAGTTTCCACTGACACTACAATATATCCTTGTTTTAGTTCTCCTTTAGCTTGGTAGAGATTACTCACTGTGTGAGATAAAGTCTCCCTTAAAGCCAAGAAACTTGATTTTATTCTCTGTGACGGTGTTTCAGGAATTGGAAGAGTGCATCACATCTCATCTCAGTTATCTTTTCTCAAGGTTACACATACACAGATTCTTCAATGTCTCTTCACAGGGATTAGATTCTAGTTCCTTGATCATCTTTGTTGCCTGTTTCTAAACTACTAATTTCTTTGAATCCATAATAAAACTGTGGTACCTAGAATTACAAAAAGTACTGATGGTAAGGGGTCAAGCCAAATAGAGTGGAATGATTATTTCCTGTGATTTGGAAATTATACTTAGGTTGATACAGCCTAAAATTGCATTTGTTTTCTTTGCAACCACATCACACTGCTGGCTTATATTTAGTTTGCAATAAACTACAATTCCAAGATCTTTTTCATAAGTACTATTACCAAGCCAGGTGCCTGACAGCTCTGTAATTTGCTGGATTTTTCTCCTATTTGGATAGGGATAATATTTCTCCCTCCAGTCATCTAGCACTTCACCCAGAATTTCTGAAAGGTAATAAGTAAGAACTTGGATAGAATATCACCTAACTCCTTCAATACACTACAGTGCAATTAATTTGGTCTAAGAGATTTAAGCTCATCCAAAGTACAAAGTTATTCTCTGATCATCTTTGCATCAGTCACAGGCTTCAATTGTGCCCTGTCATCTTCTTCACAATTTCCAGGTGAAGCAATGTTCTTATTATCTGGCAGCATTTTGCCTTCTTCAGTAAGCAGCTGGTATACTGATTTTTTCCTTTCTTTTTCTTTTGACAATACTATTTTTTTTGTTATTCTTAGTAAACTTTGTAGCCTCAGCTCCTTTTGAGCTTTTAATTTCCTGGCACCAGCTCTACAATTTTACACTTCCCATCTATACTCTTCCTTGTAACCTGGTCAGCAACACAAGTCAGGAATTTCCCAGAATAACTGTGCTTGCCAGAAGAGAATATTTGAAAGAGAGAAAACCGTCAACAAATGTTGTAACTTCCTTTTCCTAGAAGAAAAGGTGATACAGGGGAAAGGTAGTCAGTTCATTCAAGATGATTGCCTCTGCTGGATAGACATCTCCAAAGTAGGTGATGTTAAAGGTAGGCAATTACTGGCCAGAGATTGTTACCTATAATGTAGATAAATTTACAGATAAAATGCAGAAAATTAAACAAGAAGCCTACTTTGACTTGATTTGGCTATTTCTGTACAAGTAATATGTAGGTAAACGATAGCAAATGATGAAAGATTCTGTATTTAGGGGTATTTGCTGGGAGAATAGGCGAATGCAATAAAAATTCACAACTATTTGTTATAGTCCTGCAGTTACAGACTCCATAGACCTTGTCCTTTCATAAAGTTAGATTTGTTTTCTTGGTTCCATCAACAAATCAGCTTTTTGTGAGTGTGTATGTGAGGATCCTTAAATAATCTCACATTTATTGTGACACAAAGAGGAAGCTTTCTTCCTTTCTGCTTGATTGATGAATGCTGCTAGGGCCCATAGAATCAACTCAGCTATGTGATTTTTCAGGGAAGGACTGAAATAATTTAATTCGTGGCTTAACAATAGTCTTTGGTTCCTAATTTAATGGAATCTACAGCTTCTAATTATGTTGAAGCCCCTTCATCAGATATTGCCATAAAAAAAAAAGGCTGTTCCAAACAATCTAACTTGCATCTTCTAAAAAGAAGAGGAAATTGAACATATGAGAACTTTTCAGACATTATTCTGATTGAATTGCCATGGAGGAAAAGCTCATGCTTGTTAATTTGTTCTACCCTGCTCCATAGGTTATGTGTGTATGTGTTTTAGAGAATCTGACAAAGACTGAATGAATATAAACTATACATGCATGTTTGTTCACACAGCTGCAGCCCTTGAATAGGCAAAATCTTTAACTATAAAAGGTAAACACTGATTTCAATCTTTCTGTACTGTGCATTCAGACAGTACAGAAAGTGCTGTGTAGAATTTATGAATGAGCAGAAGAATGAAAGAAGCATTACTTGGGTGGAGAGTGATCATTATGAGAGGTTTCACCAATTGTCCTAAGAGTGGGCACTGAAAACATTAACCAAGGGCACTTTCATACCACCACCATTTCATTTCCCAAGTCTTCAGATGCAGCAGAAAGCTATATATGATTCACTTCTGCTGATCTGAAATGCTGAGAACAAGGGACAAAGTTCCCAAGCCACTGCAATTTCTTTAGAAGCAAAATCCATCTCAAAGAGCAGGAATGTGGGGCAAAGGAAGGAAGGAAGGAAGGAAGGAAGGAAGGAAGGAAGGAAGGAAGGAAGGAAGGAAGGAAGGAAGGAAGGAA